TATATATATATATATATATAATTTTTTAACTTCTCCTGCATCCATAAAATAACTTAATATCTGTTCACTTCTCTTCTACGTCTTCATTATTAATCTTCTCACTTCAGTCAATGGAGTATTATGATAATATTTGTTCCTTTTCCTATGCACAATCAGTGCAAATCTCTGTGAAGAACCCTTTTGAATCCTAAAAGGTGGAGTTGAGACATTATGACCGTGAATTCTACTTAAAAAAGGCAAAAGTATCCCTATAAGAGCAATGCTTCACACGGCTCAAACTATATTAAAAAGTTCAATCTGCATGACATATTTGCATAGCAAAAAGTAGTATGTTTAATGGAGCAACAATGAGTAAAAACAGAAATTTTAAGAGGAATGACGAGTGATTTGCTCACATTTAAAAGCATATTACAATTTATAGGGATAAATAATTTTATCAACATGTCATATCTGAAATAGAATAATTTATAAAATAAACTAGCAAGATGCCCTATGATCTTTAGAAAAAGTATTTACCTAATTTAAAATATTCTTAAAGCATGGAGGCCTTTAGCCACATTTATTTTACCCGAAACCTAAGAAAAAATAATAATTCTAAAACAAGTATTTGTTTAATTATTGGAAATGCTAAAAGTAGTGTAGCGCATAGAATCTATATTTAGACTTCTGTTATAGAATTAAGCATTATGATTATATATATAATGTCAACTCTTTTAAGACTTTTTCTTTAAAATTACTAATTGGTGAATCGATAATTTGTAGAATGTAAATAAAATAATTTATCTAGTATGCTTGTGCGTGTATGATTGATTAACAGAGTCCATCCCCTTATGATACTAGCTGAGGATGCCAAGATACTCATACACGTAAATTGAAAAAAGAATTAATGTACCTTCATTGGTATAATTTAGGGCGCTCCTATGATGATTGTAAACAATACCAATAAAATGAATTGTTCTAATAAATCTTTGATTGTTTTAAATTTTACAAAATGGTCATAATTGAAGAAAAAAATAACAATTATTTTCTCTTTATTTATGCTTAACAAATAAGCATGTTGTTTCTTATTTTTACATTACTATGATTTAGAAATACGTATATTCACTAACTGTTGATATCTCACTATGATTTAAACTAAGATTTCTAGGTTAGAATTTCAAAGTAGAAATGAGTAATAAGGAAATACGTTTATATAAATTTATAATTGCTTTAATTTAATTTTTTTTTTCTTTAGTGACTCTTTCAATTATTTTGGATGATTAATTGCTAGTAATAGAAATTAAAACTAAACATATTTTCACCATCTGATATCATGTTCCTGCATTGGAATTTCCAAACCCTAGATCAGATTGTGCATCTATCTCCGTTTCTTCTAGAATAAGAGATTTATCTAACATTTAAAACCACGCTCAATCAAAGAATTAAAAAAGAGACAAATTTTGGAGATGAATTTTACACCTTAAAAGATAATATTTTTTGACATACAGTGAAGCTACTTCTTCTGCTTTTTGGAAAGAATTTGTGAATGCTGAAATTAATTCCATCGTGATGAATTCTAATTAAGAGTCAGTTGATTTGCCTCTAGGTCTGAAACAATAGGAACAAATGAAAATTCATGAATAGGTGCAAACCTAATTTATTAGTTGATAAATTCATAGCTAGAATAATAGCCAAAAAAATACTCAAAAGAGAATTTAAATTACTTATTCTTCAATTGTTAAAATTGCCTCCACATATTACAAGTTGCATATTCATCAAATGCCTGTAAAGACTAAAATTCCAAATGGCAAGTTAGAACAAGAGATTCACATGGAGCAAAGAGGAAGTTTTGTGCTACGTGAGAATAAGAAAAAATTACACAAACTTACCAAATACTCATATGAACTTTAATAAAGCTAAAAAATAATGGCATTAAAAGCTTCATAACACCATGGTCTCCAATGATTATAAGGTCAATGAATCGGATTTGTATATTTATCATAAACATGATGAGAAAAAATCTAGTGTAATAATTTGTGTATATGTTGATGACATGCATATATTAGATACCGGCCTTAACGTGATAATGGAAACAAAGTCCATTCTATTTCCAAAGTATACATGGAAAGAATAACAAGCAACAGATGTAATGTTGACAACTCAATTAAGAGCAAAGACAAATGATATCAAATATCCTTTAGAGTATTTTGTAGAGAAAATATGAAAGAAATTCTTTCGACTTAAGGAGAACACTTTGCACAACAAGTGCTATACTACTAAATTCTTTCTGTTTGAACACTTCACATGGCAATAATGGATGAGTTTTATTTTTCATCCTATATATGTCATTTTCCCCTTTGTTTTATTTCTAACTTTAATTTTAGCCACGTTTCTCAAATCTACATTCCTTACACCAACAAACCTCAACTCATGAATCGCTTTCTAGTTATAGTTTACATTAAAACACATGAGAGTAGTGAGTTTAGTCTCTCCTAGAATAGATGAAAAATATGGTCATGTAGATATATTAATTGGCGTAATCAGTCTATCATAGGTGTTGAGAAATTTAGGGCGAAAAAAAATAGTAATCGACACAAATCCAGAAGAACACACAAAAATTTAATGAGGTTCGGCAAAAATGCCTACGTGAGCGGCAAATTTCACTATTTCTGGGGAGTTAAGTTCATAACCACAGGGTTACATATTATATATATAGATAAAACTCACAGATAAAATAACTAACGCGCCCTTACTCCCCCCAACTCACTTATCTCCAAGAGACACAGCTCTTCCTCCAAGAGACACATCTCTTCACTCCAGGAGATACACCTCTTCAATTCCAAGAGACACTACTCTTCAATTCCAAGAGACACTCATCTTCATTCCAGGAGACACATTTTTTTTAATTCTAAGAGACTCCAAATTCTGATATATGAGCTATACCTTAACAAATCTCCACCTTGGCGAATATACAGCCCCTTAGGAGAAATACATATACCTAATAAATTTTCACCTTGGCGAATATTCTGCCCATTATGAGAAATACATCATGAAGTTGCTTATACCTAAATGATATGGGCAACCATGTCGTCTAACAATTGCAAACATTCAACAAGTTCAAGCAATGCAAGAACTTGTTGATAGTATCTGATTTGGTCAACATATCAATTGCATTTTCATCATATTATTCAACAGGGTGAACTTCACCTACAACTGTACTCCCCAACTGTTTATAGATATTACCTGCAGTGATCTTTCCTTTCATCACGGCAAATAAACCTTTAACAATTCTGATGGTTTCTCTATCCTCATCTGTCTTAGGAATAAAACTAATTCCATGTAAAGTATCCAAGGAAATTAAATTATTCTTCAAATCTGGAATATGTCTTACATCACATAATGTTCTGACAGTGTCATCATACATCTTAGTTCTGACTTTGTCAATACCAGCAATATTGTAACACATATCATGACCCAAATAGACCAAACCAGAATCAGATAACATGTATGAAGTAAATCATTTCATGTTAAGTATTACGTGATAAAAGCATCTTAAGTCAGGAATACATGCATCATTCAATTAAGTTGTTATAACTGAAAGTGTATCACCATCACTGTAATTTGTAATATCACTCTGCACCATATTCATGGACTTGGAAGGTACATCATATTTTTCATCAAACTGCTTCTTGAGCTTTGGACAGTCTTTCTTAATATGTCTCGGCTCTTTGCACTTGTAGCAATGAATCGTCTTTCTGTTTTTAGGTTTCGACCTGGAATTTCGCATTTCATAACTCTCCTTCTCCTCATTCTTTCCACGATCCTGATTACCGTTAGCATATAAACAATTACCATTAGAGTTTTTCTCTGCATTCTGTTTCCGCTGGTTGTGAGTCAACAATGTTACAGTAATCTCATCAATTTTGATTATTTTTTTCTCATATGTAAGAGTAGCACCAAATGTTCATAGGAGGAAGGCAATGAACACAACAGAATCATTGTTTGATCTTCATCCTCAGTACTCACATCAAGTCGTGTCAGATCTATGAATATTTGATTGAAGACATTCAAGTGTTGCGCCTGATCAATGTTTGTCTGCAACTTCAGCCTATACAGTCTTTGCTTCAGATACAGTTTATTTGCTAGAGATTTGGATATAAATTGATATTTCAATTTCTTCCATACTTCTCGTTGAGATTTCAGATTCATAACATGATAAATAATTTCATCTGTCAAACATAAACGTATGGTACCTGCCGCTCATAGTTGCAATTCTTCTAAATCTTCATCTTCTATATTATCAGGTTTCGTAGCTCGCAAAGCCTTTAAAATTCTTTGTTGTGTCAACAAATCTTTCACCCTTATTTGTCACAATCCGAAGTTCCTGGTTCCACCGAACTTCACTATCTCGAATTTTGCATCAGACATTGCTATTTGAAATTAATCCTGCAGCAAAATTTTCCTATCTTGCGTCGAAACAAAAACACACCGCAAATAAATTCAAAGAAACCTGAAATTTTTTTGTTAATTGCAGCAATTTTCTTGCAATTCTGCTGTGATTCGTAAATCAAATTTTTCACACGAAACACTTTTCCCATTCGCGTAAAAATTCGACCAAACTACTGCAAACACCTTGCCTAAAGCCTTTTCTTATTCGCGCGAACGCCTCAATCGAACTTCACCTGTCGCAAATTCTCCTGCGACAAACTTGTGAACTCCTTGTTGGCCAAACTCCTCTTGTCCGCCACCAAACTCCTCTCCTCTACGAAACTGGACCATCGCACAAACTGCTCCTTCGCGAACTGCCCTAGCCGCGGGAACTCCTTCCCGCAAACAGTCGCTAAGATTCGCGAACTCTTCTGCGAACAGAACTGCCGCTAAACTGCCTCTGCGCAGTAATCTTTCCTGGTTTGGATGAAACCATCTTGCCACCGATCATCCAGAGAATCCTTGGTTCGATCTGCTACGTCACCTAGTCGTGAACCTCCTGTAGCGGAAGAAGCAGTGCCATCTCCGCGACCTTCATGCGTCGAATTGTCGCGGAGCTGCCGAAGCCCCTTCCCGAACTTTGTCTGGCCTCGACCTGCCGCAAAACCTCCCGAACTCCTCCTGCCAAATTGTCAAATCATTCTTCTTACTTTCTGCACCGCCGAAAGTTTTCTTCCCTACCCTACAACCTCTCTCTGATACCAATTGTTGAGAAATTTAGGGCGAAAAAAAATAGTAATCGACACAAATCCAGAAGAACACACAGAGATTTAACGATGTTTGACAAAGATGCTTACGTCCTTGGGAGCAAAGCGGCGAATTTCACTATTTCAGATGAGTTTAGTTCATACTCATAGGTTATACATCATATATATAGAGAAAACTCACAGATAAAATTACTAACACGCCCTCGCTCCCCCCAACCCACTTATTTCCAAGAGACACACATCTTCACTCCAAGAGACACTCATCTTCATTCCATGAGACACACCTCTTCAATTACAAGAGACTCCAAATTTTGGTATATGAGTCATACCTTAACAATAGACTTAAACTTTTGGGTTAAAAATAAATTTGGCCACTAATATATAAGACCCAAAGTCAGTCATTTTGTGCAAATATTCCCAAACAAAAGTGGTATCAAAATTTATTTTGGTAGGAGTCAGGTGCTTCATGCAATATATTACAATTCTCAAATATTTGTGGTGCTTTCTAGGCTTCCACAATATTTGAAGAAATATCACAAGTGGGTGGCTCTCACAAAGGTAGCATGTAGTTGAGTGTATCTTAGTGAATAAAACTGAATGATGTTGAGAAGCTTTCATTTGGGGCAAAGCAATAGTCATTGTGAAGAGCTCTAATGGGAATATTGTTATCCACAAAGAATAATTGAAAAATAAATTGGTAGAAAAAATATCAACTGGTTGGCCCTTTCATATACATGCTTAAATGTTTGAGTTAAAAGTGGGTTTAACCATTATATTTCTTGCCCAACTTCAACTTCAGTCTTTCCTAAAACTTAGTTAAAAGGGAAAAAAAATATCTTTTTTATTCTTTCTCTTCACTCTGTTCGTTCCGTTTCTTATTTTTCTTTGCAGACTAAAAGAGAATAGCAAGAGCAATCACTCAGAAATAATTAGAATTTACGGGCAAAAAAAAAAAGAGCTTCTTCTCCAGCCAAGAACCACCTGAACGCCGACGGTATTCTGCGCCGTGACGGGAGGGGGAGCCCCCTGGGGGGGCGCAAGCCTTTATATCAGCCTGGATGCCAGCTCCGGCGCCGGAATCCGAACCGGCGACGGTCAGAACGTGAGGAAGTTGCTGACCACGGCCCTGTGTCGCGGCAGCATAACCACTTTCCTCCAACATGGCGAAGAACGGCTGAACCCTATCCCCCGTTTCTCTTCGGCCGAATGAATACAGGCCTTAGCATACCAAAGGCCGATTGGAATCGAGAAGAATAGGAATTAGAAAAGCAGAATAATGGATGCTGAAGAGCCGAAGAGTAGACTCCGAGTGCCGAAAAAGTATTACATCAGTGCGAGAGAAAAATAAAACAGTCCGGTATCCTTCCCGTGTTATTTGTATATTATTAAAGTACAATTGTGTTCTGAAAATATTATTTATATTATAATAACATAATAACACATAAATAATATATAATGACACTTAAATAATATAACAAGAATATTCTCTCATGTTATCGGGCAGATTTTTTATTTTTCTCACATTGATTTCACCGGTAACACGAGGTAATATTCACCAGTGTTATTCAGGTGTTACTGTATGTTATTCATGTGTTATTGTGTTATGCGAATATTCTATATATTATAATAACACAATAGCACATGAATAACATACAATAATACATTAATAACACAGGGGGGAATATTCTCCGTGTTACCGCATCGTTTTTTTTATTTTTCGTGTGACGTGATTTTATTGGCTACGCACGTAATTCTAAATTAGGAAAATTTATATAAATATCATACAATTCTTTCACATTTTTATATCTAA